AATATAATACCACTCCAGGGAGTACTCCACTGGAGGAGCACGGTTTCCCACTACTAACCACGAGGACTCAGAGACTAACAAAAACAGATACACAACCTGACTTAACCGCCCAAAACGGTCCGCCGATGAAGCAGAGTAAGGGCGACAAGAGAGGCGGACAGGCGATGGGCCAGGCAGTCGAGTGGCTAGTGGTAGTGGAGCGCACTGATGCAGGCTAGAACAGGGAACTAGAGACGGACACCACACTCGCTGATCAAGGCAGAGTCACGTAGTGGTGGGGGACAGAAAGAGTGAGGAGAGAGGGATAAGGACACACCTGCAGGACCAAGATGAATCAATGGAAACGAAGATCGAACGCTGCTATGCTTGCGCAACGTGTGCGCATTTGCGTGTGCATGTGTGTAATGAAGGAGACAGATTGTCCTGGACGGTCGATTCGTATCAGGCGAGGTTAAATGAAAATGCTGACTCCGGCTGGTAGACTAGTTGTTGCCAAGTTGCCGTAATTGACACACACACACGCGCGCGCATGCCCAGGTTAGTTTATATCGGCACGTGTCTTGTTCGTCCATATTGGTTGAGGGTGTAAACAGTAGTCTTCATCCACCTCTCCCAACCTAGCCCTGCTCGGCCGTGACCATGTTTGGGTTGACTACCATGAAACTGCAAAACCGAATCGCCCAAAAACGAAATACACACAATGCCATGGCAACAGCATGAAAAATTTTGAAAACTCGTTATTCGAGTACCGCCGCGCTATTCAAATCCGATTGCGTGCAATGAACAGCACCATAACCAAAAACAGGGATTGGCGCAGGTTAGGGTGTGACCACTTCGGCTGGAAAATCCGACGACAACCTTGGAGTGATGGTCTTTGTTGCACTCACTCCGGCTGAAAGTAGAGGACAGTCTAAGATCGACCACGTGCCCTTATTAATGAGCGAGTTGGCGTGGTAAAAGAAACAAAGCCCCAACCGCTGAGCAGTGTGCAAATACTGAGTGAATGGGACCGGTGATTTCTCTAAACGTAACAATTAGGTAAACGTCACGCAGTAACCCGGACGTAGAATGTATTTATCACCACCACCCTCGTTAACAAATTCATTAGATCTATAATGATCATCAATGACAGCAACATCAGTGTTAATGTATTTAACCACCCTCGTTAACAAATTCATTAGATCTATAATGATCATCAATGACAGCAACATCAGTGTTGGCACTGATGCTTCACTTCACTGAAGTGAAGAGAAGAGAAAAAGAGTGGGTGAGGGAGGGGACTTAGTGCTGGCCTATGTCAAGCATACTGAGGTGCCTACACCTCCAACCGCTCAATCAGACAATCTGGAAAGAAACTGACAGCACGAACGCCACTGACATCGATTAGCCGCCATTTCTTGCAATGTCTCCAGCCAAGCACAGACGGGGTCACGGGGACTCCATCCTGGAAGTCTCACCACACCAACAACACCCAAACTCTTCGTGATCTCTTTCACGCCTTTTTGCCAAGTCATATGCTGTCCACCTCGCGGTTTGCGCCATCCCGAAGGAGGCACGGAGAACAACACTCGCTTCGATAGACGGTCCTTTGGCATGCGTAGCACATGACTGAGCCATCGTATTCGATGATGCTGGATTGAGGTGCCCGCAGAACAACCAAATACCCGTTTTCTAATCGCCTCGTTACTAACACGCTGACGTCATTCACAACCAGCCACGCTTCTGAGGCATCGGTGGTCGAAAGCCTGAAGACGCCTCACATCATCTACCCGAAGAGGCCATGTCTCACACCCATACAACAACACAACCCTTACTGTAGCCTGGTACACACGACCCTTAAGATCCAGTGAGATGCCTTTTTGACGCCACAA